TAAGCTAGCTTATAGTTTATTTGGTTAGTTTATAAGCTTCCTGTATTCAAATAAGCCCCGTTTGGTAGGACGAACTTATTTAAAAAGCTCGAACTTATTTGATAAGCTTGTTTAGACATCTTTTCAAATAAGCTAGTTGAATTTTTTTATTCAAAATAGCTTATCAGCTAATTTTATCAAACAACTTGATCATATAAGCTAGCTTTTCAGCTATAAGTCATAAGCTATAAACTATAAGCTCGAAAATTACATATTAAGTTATAAACTAGCTTATCAGCTAGTTTGACCAACGTACATGATTAATTACCGTTTGCTTGTTTTCTATTTGGATTTCAAATTTTTTGTTTAACATTGAAGAAAAGTCAACAACACCCTTTAATGAAATAACTGGTTTAGGTCTAAGTCTAGGATTGCCCTTTGACTTTTGAGGGTGAGATAAATTTATCCTTTTGTGACTGGAGCAAATTACCCTTGTGTCCTAAACTTTGCACCTATAGTATTTTATGTGGAGGTAAGCCCAGACTACGTGTCAACCTTCAAAGTTGGGCTTCTCCACATGTCAATTGGGCCACCATTTTCTTGGAGAGATCCTACTAATATACAAGAAATTATTGGGCCGTAAATAGTGGGAATGGTAAGAAATCTTGATTTTGTTTGATTTTTATTTTTATTTTTATTTTTTTTGTTTATTCATTGTTAATCTGAAAAAAGTGGTTGGTTTAGTTGTTAGTGATATTTGAGTTTATATTAAAATATTATTTAAAATATAATAATTAAAGTTAATTTGATGTAATAGTAGAAGAGAGATGAAATGAAATGATGATTAGTTAAAGTTAGGTAGATGAATAGTGAATTAAAGCTGATGTGACATGTAAGAATGATTGCTTGATACATTTAATTATACTGATAATATTGAGAATAGTGGAGTTGGGTTAAAAAAATCAATGTGGTTAAAAATGTTTGTATTTTGGGTTAATTGCTAAATAAACCTTAAATTTTTTGCGTTTGGCAATATTATCTCAATCTTTGGGTAATTGCAATATAATCTCGACCTCAATTTACTTATTGCAAGTCGAACCTAAAACCGGTTGGACCTTCAAAAAACTGGCCGATTTAAAGGCGGTTCGAACAGATCGGAGCTCATATTACCGGTTCACTCCAGATCTAAGAGGAGACTCATCACCGGTAGCTTACATTGACGTGGAATTTTCGGCTTTGTGTGTGGATATACATTAAATACGTGAAAATTGTCAACTTGCTACATGGATGGCATAAAAACCCGTGTCAATGGAAGATTTGGACACAAAATCGATTCACAAATCCTTAAAATCAATCACTCTGCACCCAAAGTCTTCCTTCAAGGGCCGATAATAGAATGTAGCTAAAACTCCACCATTCTCAATATTATCCAAGCAGGCACTAAGTGATTTAGGGACGATTGACTACATATCAAGATCCGTTTTGACTGATCGAATATTTTTTTTTACACATTTAACTTAAAATTCACTCAAATTTAATTCAACTAAACTCTTGTCATTATTATCAATTTAATTAAATAATATGAATAAATCATCCTCACACATAACATAAACTTATTCATTATTAATCCACCCACATAATTTTAATTATCTAGGCTGTGATTGGATACAAACTTTACAGTAAAAAAACCAATCAAAACTTAAATTTAATTCAACATTAACCCAACATTACTATCCTCCATATTATCAATAAAATTATATAATATCAAACAAGCATTCTTACACATCACATCAACTTTAATTCACTATTTGTTCACTCACATAATTTTAACTAATCATCACTTCCAGTTATTTTTCTCATACTTATACATCAAATTAACTTTATTTATTTTATTTTAAATATTATTTTAATGTAACCACTGACAACTAATCATACCATATTTTTCAAAATTAACTATGATTAAAGAAAAAACAATAAAAAACTAATCAAATTCGTATTCAATCACACCCCTATCATTTCCAATAACCTCTGTCACATTTTTACATCCAATCAACTTTAATAATTAGATTTTAAATATTATTTAAATTTGAATACAAATCCAAGACTGGTGTAGAATAATATTAGTATTATTATTATTGCTATTATTATTATTATTATTATTATTATTATTATTATTATTATTATTATTATTATTATTATTATTATTATTACTATTATTAGTTATCTTGGAGAATAAGTTAGATTTTAGATATTATTATAAGATCTTGTCTTGTTGGACAAGTTAGGAATAGGGTTTATGAGCCTTATATAAAAGACTCTCCTCTTTTGTTATCTCAAGTTGATTTTGAATAAGAATATGAATTGATTGTGAGTTTTACGTGTTTTACGAGAGAGTATCTCGTTTACTCGTTTATCCTTCCCATTCGTATGTTTTCCCTACATCAGTTGGTATCAGAAGTCAGCACGATTCACGATGCTATCGCGAAGACAAGATGTTGCAAACGACAGACCTGTCGCCGCCATCTACAACCTGAGCCGCCGAACCGAGTGGTTTGGCCGCTAGCTCGATACGATGGGTCGCCAGATTGCAGATCTGTCCGCGGAGATCAAGGACATACGCCTAACTATCTGTACCATGATTCGGGACATGCAAACGTACCGTGACGCCGGCAATCGGGGCGTGTGCGGGGGAATTCGCGGAGGACGTGGTCCAGGCGGGGCGGCCCGCTGGAGATCTCCACAACCATCATACAGCGACGAAGACGGCGAGGAGAAAGTCTCGGAGGTGAATTCCTTCGACGATTTTCCACCCCCGCACGTCGAGGCTGACCTCTTTGCTGCATACGGCGGCCGTGACATGCGGCGACGGGACCCGATCTTCGTGGACGGCGACGATCAACGCGACGACATAGGCAAGCGCGAAGAAGCTGCCATCATCAATGGATATCGTGTCCGACGCGATTGGAAATTTGATCGTGATTATGGTCGATGGAAGGGCCCGTTTCGTGTAGACATCCCCGAATTCGACGAAGAGCATGTTGACGGGCCATTGTACGATGGTCCGCCTGTGTTTGATGAATGGCCCGAGAAGGTCGAGGAGCGTCTTACCGGCGAAGCGGACGGTCTCTACAAAAATTCGCCTATTTTCGATGAAGAGCCTCTGGGGCCCGAGGTGACGCTTTCTGATTTTGGCTTGTGTAAGCCACCGGATAAATATTTATTCATGTTACTAGAAGTTGCTGATTTTATTGCTCCGTATTCTAAAAATGAGCACCACATGCATTTGGGCACAGAAACTGCGCTACAACAGTGGAAACACAATCATCGTTCATTGGCATGTCGCAAGATAATAAATTAGAGACCATGTTTGAAGTTCTCTGAAGAACCAAAAATATCTTATGAGGCTAAAGATCTGATCCTCCATTTGTTATGTGAAGTTGAGTGATATTCAACCTTCGTGTTCGACCGAGGAAAATGACGGAGTTTGCTACCATGAGTTCGACACCACAGGCCGGCCACGGGAGCGCATCGACTTCGAGGGCGAAGCCTTCCGAACTGGGGGAGAATGGTGTAGAATAATATTAGTATTATTATGATTGCTATTATTATTATTATTATTATTATTATTATTATTATTATTATTATTATTATTATTATTATTATTTTTATTATTATCAGTTATCTTGGAGAATAAGTTATGTTTTATATATTATTATAAGATCTTGTCTTGTTGGACAAGTTAGGAATATGATTTATGAGCCTTATATAAAGAACTCCCCTCTTTTGTTATCTCAAGTTGATTTTGAATAAGACTATGAATTGATTGTGAGTTTTGCGTGTTTTACGAGAGAGTATCTCGTTTACTCATTTATCCTTCTCATTTCTATGTTTCCCTACATCAAAGACTTCACTCAATCCTCCAATTTTATTCAGAATTAACTCATTTTATAGGCTATTTTTTTAAGACTTGTAATTTTTTTTTTCAGGCCCGTAAAATATGAACCCACGCCC